AGTTGGACTGACAGTTTTTAGAGACATCTAGAGAAATTGTCAGTTCATTTATGCTCTGCTCCTATACAAAAGAGTCAAGCCCCATAGCAACTGGAGACTCTACATGTCTTTAATCTCCACAGTATGGAATTGAGACTATTTGTGTCAGAAAGTAAATTTCCCTTTGTCTGGAATAGCTGTTTTGAATGCAAAGGGAAAAAGTGCATCTTGAGCCTGTGTCAAACGCACATCATGACCACGCCCATGCCTGCCATGACCATGGCTACCCCTGCCACACCCAAGCCCACCACCCAGATCAAACACAACCCTGATGCAGCCCTCATTGAAATCGAGTTTGACCCCCCTGATCTAGATAATGGTACTTTACGAAAAGTGCTGATATAAAGAGTTTCCACGTGAGTTCAACTATTATTGAGCTATGACAAGGCTGAAGGGAGTCTAATCTAAATCATGCAGCACAGCTGATTCCCCCCTTAAGCTTCAAAATACGCTTTTTTCCAGAGCTTCCCTGCACCCTGTTTTTGCTCCCAGGAGGCTTCCCTGAAGCCCACTAGGCCAAAAATGGGGTGCGGGGGGGTGCTGTAAAAGAAAGAAAGAGGGGAGGGAGGGAGGGAGGGGAGAAAGAAAAAAGAAAGAGGGAGGGAGGAAAAAAGGAGAGGAAGGAAAGACCACTAACCTTGCCATTAGGCCAAGGGTCTTCAAACTTGGCAATGTCTTAACTTGTGGACTTCAACTCCCAGAATTCCTGAGCTAACATGACAATTCTGGGAGTTGAAGACCACAAGTCTTAAAGCTGTCAAGTTTGAAGACCTCTGCATTAGATGCAGCTTCAAGAGGATTCACAGCAATCCAGGACAGCCCTGGATTGCTGTGCTTTGAAACAGCACAACAATCCAGGGCTGGAAGGAATCTGGAGGTCATCTAGTCCAACCTCCTGCTTCAGAAAGTGAGTTCTGTCCTTTGACCACATAGCCACATCCACCCAATCACATGACCACATAGCCATGCCTACCCAGTCACATACCCACATACCTATGCTCACCAAGCCACGCCCACAGAACCAGAAGTAAAAATTTTTTGAATCCCATCACTGCTTCAGGCGGTACATTTTGGATGCAAAACATCCAAATGACATAAACATTTGAAATACTGGAAGCTTAATTTTAGCTATTGCCGCACATTGTTGGCTCATATTTAAGTGTCCACTTGGATTCCAAGTTCCCTCTCACAGCTACTGGCATTGAGCCAGGCTTCATCTTATCTGTACCTCTACATTTGTTTTTTCTTGCCTTACATTGCTATATTCTACATTGAATTTCACTTTGAAATTCATTTCATTACGGCCCAGTGTTCAAGTCTGTCAAGATCCATCTGGATCTTGAGCATATCTTCTGGGTTGTTGGCTATTCTTGCCAGCTTAGTGTTGTCTGCAAATTTGATAATTCCCCTTCTATTTCCTTATCTAGATTACTTATGAAGATATTGAAGAGTACTCAACCTAAAACAGAACTTTGGGGTACCCCACTACTTCTCCCCATTGTAGTCCCATTGAGGACTACACATTGAGTATGGTTTGTCAGCCAGTTACAAATCCATCTGGTGATGATGTTGTCTATCCCACTTTTTTCTAGTTTACCAAGAAGTATGTTGTGGTCTATTTTGTCAGATGTCTTACTGAAATCTAAGTATATTACCGTCTTTCCCTGAAAATAAGACCCACCTCAAAAACAAGTCCTAACCTGATTTTTTGGGGTGGGCCTAATATGCCCTATCCTGAAAATAAGCCCGGGGATGGGTTTGGCCCTCTGAGATACAGTGGCACAGTGCAGATACCTGTAAATCCGAGCGCGGAGGCGGTGGGGACAGACAATCCAGACATGCTACGCAGCTGCCTGGCTCACAGGAGGCTTCTACAGGGCTACCAGCAGCAAGTGGAGACAGAGACACGGGGAATACAGGCAATCTGGATGTGCTGTGCTGCTGCCTGGCTCACTGGAGGCTTGTGGGAGACTTGTGCAGTATCACTGGTAGCAGGCAGAGGCACAGGGGAAGGGGGAGGCGCCTGGAAGGGCGCCTGTCCAGTGCAGCCGCGGGCAACCAAGAGATAGTGGGATGGAGTGGGCAGCATGTTGGGATTGCCTGCCTCCCCCCCACCATGCCTCTGCCTCTGCCTGGCTCCACCATGCACTTTTCACCCAGAGAGAAAGAGAGAGAGAGAAAGAGAGACAAAGTTTCATCTGCTTGCAAATGGGACATTCCATTTCAAATTGTCCATTCAAAATGTTCCAAAGCTTTGAGTGTCCCTCATTTCTCCGTCCAGGCAAAAAGTATTTGTACTCCTGCTCCAGTGCCACACTGGTGCCGGAAGAAGTGAGCCAGCAGCCATGTGGGTTCCTGCTGAACATGGTTGCTGGTGCTGCCGACATCAAGCAGTTGTTGGAGCATGGAGTCACTGGGCCCTGAGGTAAGCCAGCATGCATGTCAAGAAGCTCCACTCCCCCACCTCGCAGCAGTGAAACTCAAAAAAATTAAGACATCCCTGAAAATAAGCCCCAGTGCTTATTTTGGAGTCCAGAAGAAAATAAGTCCCAGTTTTATTTTCAGGGAAACACGGTATGTCCACAACATTTCACTGAACTACTAATTTAGTCACTTTGTCAAAGAATGAAATAAGATTTGTTTGGCATGAAATCTTTTTTTGATGAACCCATGTTAGCTTTTGGTTATAATTTTGTTTGCTTCTAAGTGTTCGCAGATGTGCTGCTTGTTTATCTTTTCCAAGATCTTTCTAGGTATTGATGTGAGACTGACTGGTCTGTATTTTCCTGGATCTGTTTTTTTTTTCCTTCCTTTTTTGAAGATGGGATCCACATCAGCTCTTTTCCAATCCCCAGGTATTCCCCATTGCTCCAAGAACTTTGAAATATACTGTATGATTCAACGGTTCTGAAATTATGTCTGCCAATTCCCTCAGAACTCTGTGAGGACCGGGTGATTTGAATCCATTTAGAGCTGACAGGTCTTTTCTTCTCTTATTTTTGCTTATTTTAATTCGTATTCCTAGCCTGTCTTTTCTGGTTTTGCTAAGCTGGATTGTATTTTCTTTTTTCATGAAGATAGATGCAAGAATTAATTACACAGTTCTGCTTTCTCTCTACTGCTCCTTATTTCCTTGCCATCTTCTCCCATTAGTGGACATTTTTTTTACTTTTTTTCTTGTTTTCTATGTGTTGAAAAAACTTTTGTATTGTTTTTGATATTTGTTGTAAATTAAATCTTGCAAAATTTTGATGTGAAAACACATTTAAGTAACTATTCATTTCTGGGTTGCATCAAACACTTGAAAAGTTCATTACAAATTGTGTGCAAATTTCTGAAAGTTGAATTGGATAGGCAATTGTATTTTGTAGCATCTTTGAAATAAAGCACAACTGAGATGATTACTTATTATTTTCCTTGGAAAGTAAAATAATATTTGCTGTATTCCATTTGGACATTTAGGAGAAAACAATAATCCAGTTAGTTCTTGACCTACAACTGTAATTAAGCCCAAAATTTATGTTACTAAGTGGGACAGTTAAATGAATTTTGTCCCATTTTATAACCTTTCGTGCCATAGTTGTTTGGTGAATCACTGCAGTTAATAAGTTAGTAATGTGGTTGCTAAGTGAATCTGGTTTTCCCATTGACTTTACTTGTCAGATCACAGAAGGGGATCACATAACCTGAGAAACTGCAACTGTCATAAATATGAGCCAATTGCCAAGCATCACATGACTATGAGGATGCAGCAACAGTCCTAAGTGTGAAAAATGGTCATAAGCCACTTTTTTCAATGCTGTTGCAACTTGGAATAGTCACTAAATGAACTGTTGTAAGTGAGGACTACCTGCGTCCCATTTCCTCCAGGACTGTAAAAAGACCTATAATATTTGCCATATTGAGAAAAACCTTTCCACACAGGAGTAATTTGAAAGTATTTTGACAAGGCTTAGTCCCAGTTCTCATTCTGTTCAATATGTTTGTAAGTGATAATAGAAGGATTGCTAGGTAAGGTTTGACTTTTTTCAGATGACACAAAGATGTGTAATAAAGTTGATATTCTTGAGAGTATTTGTAACATGGAAAATAATTTGGCTTTGCTGGAAAATTGATAGAAATGTGTGAACTGCAGTTCAATGTTTCTAATGTAAGAGCATGCAGTTGGAGAAAAAAGAATCCTCTGGCAGAGTACAGTATTAGAGTATTAAAGAGCTGTTGACCAATCTTCAATGTGAACAATCAGATGACTACAAGGAATTTAAATCCTCCCATTCAGCACCATTCAGTCAGAAGAAGCTTCTTGGATGAGAAGTCTTCGGGGGGGGGGATGGTGCTTTTTGAAAAAGCACTTTTGGGACAAAATTCTGGAATGCATCACTAAAGGGATCACTAGCAGGAAAAATGAGACCCTAATCCTGTTATATAATCAGGCTCCATTTAGAATACAAGGCAGTATTTTTAATATGAAGCAAAAATCAAGAACATGGGAGCATAACCTCAAATGGATAGGAGGAAAGTTAGAAACGAGAAGTGAGAAATAAGTTCACAGAAAGAGTAGTGGAAGCTTGGAACCAACTTCAGAAGAGGTAGTGGATCAATCATCAGCAACTGAATTGATACATGCTTGCGATAAACACATGTCCATCATCCAAAATAATTAAAATAAAAAATAAATAATAATAATAATAATTAAAATAAACAAACTAACAAATAAATAAATAAGAAAACAAAACAAAAAACCTTAAAGGGCAGCCTTGATAGACCACTAGGTCTTTTTCTGCCATCAGTTTTCTATATTTCTATGAGATCTTATGCATTATCACGCCCTACCCCCCCAAATTGGCTTGCCTATTTGATTTTCTTAACTTGAAATATAGTATTACAAGAAAGTAAAATGATATGGATCTGCTCTGTTACCTTTAATTCCATATAATTGTCTGATTCTTTTTCTCTTTCAGCCCTGTTTTTCCAGGACTATTTGAATTTTGTTCTCGATATACTGGAGCTTCCTTGCAAGGAGCAACACAGCTGAATAATAAGGTACAAAGGTGAAGGAGCCTTCTATTGTTTCATACCTTAAGATATATTGACTAGAGCATTCTTCGAACAGTTTTCAACTATGCAGTAAAATGGCATTCATAACTTTTTATTGAATTTTATTGAAGTATGATTATAACTAAAGTTGAATGAATGCATGAGCCTAAATTAGTAATTGGAAAGTTCTCAGTTCACTTGGGATTGAATTTCATTTAAATCATAATTTTAATCACTAGTTAGGAAAATTAATTATTTACATTACAATTTATCCATTAGTCCACAAGATTCTGTAATCATCCTTAGTAAAAATGCATTTTTAGCTGGAATTTATGTCTTTCAGTACTCAGAACAATAAACATATGGATTTCATTTTTAGAAAGTCCATATTATATAAAACAATGATTTAGTTAGATTTTTAGATTAGTTTTGATTAAAAAATGGAATGAAAGTACTTGTGAAACCATACGAATATGAACTGGTTACATTTCAATTAATTGTGGAAATTTGGAAGAATATTTTTGAATATTTTTGTCAAACTATCATCAGATTTCTGTGGCCTGCTGTTTTGATTGGGTTTTGATCAATAGAAGATACTTAATACTTAGAACCTCAGAATATACTGTGATCATTTTCTATTCCTCTCTCCAGTCCTTTTTTTGTATTTAGATTTATCTTCCTTGTACCAACCTGCTTCCTTGACTCAAATTTCTGCTTTTTTTTTAGCTTTTGCACTTTCAGACAGATGTCAGTTACAAGACCTACCATTCTTGTAGAAATAAGATATAAGGAAGCAGAATAGAATGTAATTGAATGTAGGCAAATATATACATTGTATGTATGTATATGTATGTATGATGTTTGTGATTATTTCTTTAATCAATGTACATTTAAGAATAGTTTTTAAATCCTTTTTAATGTTTTTTAAATTGTATCCTGATAATTTATGCAAAGGCTTACACAGTGCTTGGCATATTGTTGCGAAGGATGACAAAAATGATACTCTAATACACATACATGTGTATACTCATACTTGAACATGTGGAACTCCTAATAAAGGCAGAGGTTTGTATCCAAACTGAACACAGCAAGGAAGAAGCAATTACTAGAAAAAATGAATTCCAAGAGGAAGATAGTTGGTAGCATGTTATGTACAGGACAAAAAAACCCAAGTAAACTGACCTCACAACCACTGCAGCTGAACAATTTCATAACCTGCCACTGGAGGAAAACATGCAAACATTGGGAGAAAGGTCTCACTCAAATGTTCCAGGAGCTCAGACTTCCCCAAAGGTTAAAAACAAAGATAAGATTAAAGATATGTCAGAGAGAATCACCAAAGTAATCAAGCCAACTGAATACTATCCATTTCTATTCTTTCAGTTTGGGATGAATGATAAAACCAAGAATCTAGAAAAAGTATCAAAGGATTTCAAAGCAAAACAATTTGGGGCCTCGATAATCTTGTTTTCTATAATACGTATCAAGGGTAAATATCCAATGAGGGAACAGAAACTTCTAAATGCAAACTGATGGGTCAAGGGATGGTGCCGTTGAAAGAACTTTGGATTTCTCGACCATGGTGTACAGTGCCTACAAAAAGGATTTCTATTAGGAGATAGAGTACACCTCACAAGGCCTGGAAGAATGTGCTTGGAAAATAATTGCTTCATCTTATCGGGAGGGCATTAAAGTAAAATGGAAGAGAAGTGTGACCAATCTTTAAGACTAGATCAAAAACATAAATCCCAAGACAACAAATAAGACAATGAGGAAGGAGAGGAAAATTATGTATAAAACAAGAGACATAGGAAGCAAATGCAGGGTTAGCCATAAAGGGTTCAGGTGTTTATACACTAATTCTCAAAGTACTGGGAACAAACAGAGAGAACTTGAAGTCCCAGTAGATAAGGGCAGGTACAATATTGTTGCTATCACTGAAACTTGATGGAAGGAACCCATGATTGGAACATACAGCTAGAAGGATATAAATTGTTCAAAAGAAACAGACTCAGTAAAAGAGAAAGAGGAGTTGTATTATATGTAAGTAACCCCCATACCTCTACAGAAATACGTAGTACCAAGGATGAAAGCCTTCTTGAATGCATTTGATGAATATTAGAGGAAAAATAAATCCAGCTGCGGGCCTGACAGATATTGTTGTAGGTTTATATTACAATCTGTCCAACCAGGCAGAGGAAATAGATGAACTTTTTGCTGATCGGTTATTGAAGGTATATAGGAATACACCATTGTAGTAATGAGAGACTTTAACTACACTGATATCAACTGGGAGACAAATCCTGCATCAAGAAGGAGATTAGACAGGTTCCTGATGTGCCTAGCTGCCATCTTTTTTTATCTAGAAGAGACAACCAGAGGGTCACCTATACTTCTTTGGATATAATAAGAAAGCCAAGGAAATGATCAATCCATTAATGGGGGAAGATTGCAAGATAGTGACAGGCAGCATAGAGAAAGTGGAACTGTTTACTTCCTTCTTTTCATGCAAAAGGAAAAAAAATGGTCCCAAAACACCATGGGAGACATCATGGGAGACATGAATGCAGGTAAAAATAGCAAAAAAAAAAAGTAAAGGAACAACTATCCATTTTAGTTTCCATTTCAGGGTTCTGAAGTCACTGACAGATGTAATCTCAGAACTACTGATCAAAATTTTCAGTTTCTGAAGCATGGAGGAACAACCAGAAGAGTGGAAAAGAGCTGATTCCAATTTTCAAAAAGGAGAAAAAAGTGGAACTAAGAAATTATAGACCAATCAGCTTAATATTAATACCTGGGAAAAGAATGGATAAGGAGGAAAAAAGGGTTGATGAGCTAACCGGAAAATTGATACAAGCAAACAATGAGCTAGAAACAACAGTGATCTTTTTAGAGGGCGAGAAGGCAGCTCACTATTTGAGGTTTCAAAATATGAAGGAGGAAAAGGGGGAAGACCTACCGGACGTGATGGGGGATCTGATTTCAAAAGCGTTGGGGACCGAAAAAGAAGAGATGTTGACAGAGATGGATAAACTGTATAGGGTAACTGTATAGACTAACTATGCAAGGAGGCAAAATCTTCTAAAATAAGTGCATGTCCGATTTGTCAAAAAATCAATCCGTGATGAAATATTACATAGAACAAGAGATGACCCAATAGACTATGGAGAAAAACAGATTATCATTTTGAAACAAGTACCGAGGATAAGAGATCTAAGATCATACCACTTTTTAACAATGAAACTGATAAGATATAATGTGAACTTTCAATGGCTGATGCTGGAGGGTATTTGGTCACCTGGCAGGAGAAACGATACCAACTAGATACAGTTGATAAAGCAGAAGAATTTCATGATCAGTATTTTACCAATGAAGAAGAAATGGAAGAGATAGTAGAAGAAAAAGAAACAATGGAAGAAAGAGAAATAGAAACAACAGATATAGAAGGAAGTTCACTAAATATTAAAGATAGATGATAGGGAAGATGTGGAAAAGTTGAAGAAGATGAAAGAAAAGATAGCCTAAAGAAATTAGATTGACAAGAAGTACCAGACAAAGAAATAGATAAAAGAAGAGAAGGTTGTGAGATGGTATTGATGAACATTCATGGATTCACCGGGAGTTACCCCCGGTGAAAAGAAACAAAATTTGCAGGAACTTGCAACGTTTAAATGCAGATATAATAGCTTTACAAGAAGTACACATAAAAGAAAAACAAAAATATTTGTTAGAGAATAAAAAGTTAGGGAAAATATTTTTTTTCATTACATGAGCAAAAGAAATGAGGTGTGATATTATATATAAAAGATTGGATTCCAGCAAAAGAAATATATAGAGATAAAGAAGGTAGGATATTGATAGTTGAAATTGAATTAAAAGATAGAAAAATATTATTGGTTGAAATTTATGCAGCAAATAGATCACAGGAACAGTTCTTCCAAAAGTTACATAACAAAATTAAAGACATACAATATGAGGTAATCTGCCTTTTAGGTGACTTTAATGCAATTATAGATAAAATACTGGACTATAAAAGTGATAACATAAGAAAAGGGGAAAAAAGAACATTCAGGATACTTGCAGAGAATGATACCCTGAGAAAAAGCAGTATACCTTTTATTCCAATAGACACCGATCATGGTTGAAGTTAGACATGGTATGGATATCAAAAGAACTTATTTCAGAGACAATAGAAATAAAATAGACAAATTTATGGGTTGACCATAGTTATATCAAATTCAGCTGGAAATACCAAAGGAAAATCCCAAGGTGGACGATGCAAAGGTCAACATTAAAAGAAGACTTTAGGTCAAAATTAGAGAAGGAATTGAGGTTCTTTTTAAAATAAGGAAGAAGATACATCTCCACAAAACACCTGGGATGCAGCGAAAACAGTTATTAGAGGAATGGCAATAACATACATGGTGAAAAAAATAAAGAAAAAAGCAACAGTGGAGAACATTAGAAGGAGAATATTGAAGATTGGAGATGAAAGAAAGAACCTCAAAAAAAGAGAAATAAAACCACAGATGGATCTAATAAAACATAGAATAAATCTACTTCGGAAAGAAGAATTAGCACAACAGTTGAAAAAACAAAGCAAAACATTTTTGAAAATGCCAACAAGCCAGGAAGATGGCTGGCCTATAAATTGAGAAAACAGAGAGAAAAAAAATAGATTACTAAATTACAAAACGAATAGGGGGAGCTGTGCTACCAAGAAATTGAAAAAAGAAATATAACTCAGAGATTCTATGAGGCATTATATAAGGAAGATACTTACCCTATAGAAGAAAAAGTGATATGATATTTAAGAAAGAACTCCCAAAAATCTCAGAAGAAAATAAAAATATGCTAAATGAGGAAAATAGATTGGAAGAAGTAATTAGGGCAATAAATAAGCAAAAAAAAATAGTAAAGCATCAGGACCAGATGGCCTTCCAGTGGAGTTATACAAGAGTCAACAAGAAATATTAGAAAGATTACTTAAAACATTTATGCAG